TATTACTTACTTTATTTCAATCTACTTTAAATTTTAAATATAGGAAGTTGTTACCACTTTTAAAAACGTGGTAACACTAAAATATACATTTAAAAATGAAAATTTTGAGTATTTCTTTAAGCTAGATCCAGCAATATGAAGATTTATAAGACTTTTGGTATACTGTGATTCAGTCACCTACTGCTGCATAATAAAACCTCTATGACTTAGTAAAAACAAACACCCACCACTTGGGTTTCGGTTCTGGTGCTCACTGGAGCCACTGTGTTTCTACCTTATGCGGACAGAGGTTGGGCCTGGAGTGCTGAGAGGCACAGTTCAGAGCCTGCATGTGGACAACATGGTCAGATGCTAGGGCTGCAGGGTCTCGCCCTCCATATGGCCTCTCCTTGCTCAGTGTGCAGCCCATGTACATGGCGTAGGACCTCATGAGAGCCAAGTGGACCTAGAAGTTAAAACTGAGCTCATCCTGAGTTCAGGGAAGAGAAATAGACTTCACTTCCTAATGGAAGGGGTGCAAAGTCATACTGCAGAAGGGCAATTCAGAAGGAAAATATTCTTGTAGGAAAAGGAAAGATTCTTATAGCTATCTTTGGAAATAATCAATCATGTTATTTTAGAAAACATCTAATAATAAAAAGCATATGTAAAACATGCTTCCATCAGACTGTTATGAATAAAAAGCGTCAGTAGGGAGGTGTATAGAACAATAACCTCATACACTCTGGGTCACCAGTGCTATTTTCACATTTCCAACACGAAGTCCCATGCTGAAGGCACAGTCACCAGTCTATGGTGCTCTAGGTAGGTGGTGGTTTGGGCTCATGCTTTTGAAAGAGACCCAGCCCTTTCCTGCTCTTGCTACTTGCAGTTGCCACAAGGTAAACTGCCTCGCTCCACAGCTGCTCCTGCCTCTCTGCAGGCCAAACGGCAGGGGAGCAGTGAGCAGAGGACACGGACCTCTTGGTGGGAGACAAGAAGTCCTTCCTTCTGCTACCGTTTTACTACAGGCATTTTGTCATGGCCATGGGAAGCTGACTAAACCGAGTAGTCGTCAGCATCCGCTTTAGAAATCAGTTTGGTGTTTACGGCACACATCCTAAAGAAACAGGAGTGCAGGAAGTCTAGCACAAATGCACAAGAAGACTCAGGACAGCACCACTCATCCTGAGGGTTGTCTGATTTAGGTCACTGTCTCAGTCTAGCTTTATGCTTCTGGAATACCATACCACAGACTGGGTGTTCGGTAATGAACACAACTTCATTGACACATGGTCCCTGAGGCCAGCAAGCCCAGGAGTTTGATAGGGTAATCATCAGATATGATGTATTCAATAAACATCTGATAATTAAGAATGGGGTTTGCACCTGCCACCACCTGGCAGCACCACGGGTCCTTGCCCATACTTCCTCTGCAAGCAAAATACTAGGGAGACACCACAGCAAGGGCAGATTTCCCATATGTGGGGCTAAATCTCTCCTGTAAAAAGAAACAAGATCGCTTTACTAACCAGCAAGGAAAATTCCAGGGGGAAAGCCAGGCAAATCAGCAGTTTCCAATCTGTCACTACTTTAATCCATCTTGTAAATCACTTCCAGTTTAATTTTAAAGGACAAAACACCACTGTTTTAATTTCTTTTTCTATTTAGGAACTTAGTAAGTGGCTCTATTATCAGGTAAAATCTAAATTTTCCAGTCTAGCTTTTCAGACCTCCACAGCTTGGCTGCAATTCCATCTATCCTATCCACTGTCCTTACGACCATCAGGCATTCTTTCCTGAAAGACAGGGTAGATTTATTCAACTTCATATTCAGAGATGCTATAAGGCTCTTCACGACCTAAAATACATGTACAGTTCTGCACAGGAGTTTTCTACTGTATGGCCCTGGGCTTCTTTGTGGCACTAACTTCCCAGCTTGTCCTTCACAGGTGTTCTCAAGTGCTCCTGTCTTGGTATCCCTAGTACTGTTTCTAAACTATCTGCATCGCTCCCTTCTACATCTGCTGTAAGAGCTAGCTGAATCAACAGGAAAGGCATCCAATAAGCCAAGTGTTCTCAATATTCTTTCTCCACTGATCATCTCTGTTGGGGGCCAGTCTGACTGTTCTCCCCATATTTCATGCAGGTTCTCATCCACTGTACTCTGTTCCTCATTAGTTTTTTATATGAGTATTGTACCTATCAGCATCCTTAAACACATTTTAAAAAAATGTTCCCTGTACCCGTCTATCACTCCATTTCTCTCCTTCCTTAACTAGTATAATTTCTCAAAAGATCTGTTCGTGCATTGTTGATTTATATCTAGATGTCCTCCCAGAGCTCATGGACTGACAGATAGGGCTTTGGGGAGGTAACTGGATGATGGGGGTGTGATATTCATCACTGAATTAGTCCATTGTTGAGTTCACAGCTAATTGTGCTATTGGGAAGCAGAGCCTGGTGGAGAAGTGGTCACAGGGGGCATAGCCTGAAAGGTCCATCTCCCTTCCTTCTCCCTTGATCATTCTTCACTTCCTGCTGTCCTGCCATGAAGGTACTTTTCCTCTGCCATGTGCCTGCCTTGGAGTCAGCTAACTATGAACTGAAACCTCTACAAACTGTGAGCCAAAATAAACCTCTCCTCCTTTTAAATTGTGGATGTTCAGTATTGTGTTTCAGCAAAGAGAAAGTAACTAAGAGATGCATGTTGTCACACTTCTCTGTAAACCTTCTGGGCTTATCACAAATAATTCTACTGCTACTTATTGAAAGTGCTCTGGTCCAGTCATCAATTATCTACACATTTTCCAAAGTAAGTGGATCCTGTCATCTCAAACTCACAGCATCATTTGCAGGTAACTGCTGCATGCTGCGTGGGCTCCCCTCCTCTGGTTCCTGCCCTGCTTTTTCTCCCTCCTGTTGCCACATTCACTGTCCCTCCTGGAAACCCCTAATCCACTCTCTGCTTTATAAGTTATTTTAAGAAGTTTTATAATATTCATATAGTAAATAACCTTTTGTTGACTTTTCACTTAAGATAAGTTCTAGCAAGCCGTGCACATCACGGTGTATAAATAGCTTCTTTTAATTGCAGAGTGTCTAGAAATTATTTAACTTTTACTTTTTGCCCAACACATCTAATCCAAGAGCAAGTCCTACCCAGTTCTACCACCAAAGTGTACCTTGAATTTCACCTTTTCTGCTTGGGCTGAAATGAGGACTTACCTGGCCTGCAAAAACATCAAACTGATTTTGCTCACATCCCTTTACCATTGTCTGCCATATAATGGCCAAAATACGCTCACATTATCTAAGGCTTTCATATATCATTTTCCAACATGTTTTTCTTCTTTCACTCATGTATTATTCAAAAATATTTATTGACAGTCAGGTACTGGGTATTGTTTAGGTTAGTGATGGCAAAACTTTTGAAGCTTTCGAAGATACAAACAGCTCACTGCCACTGGTTTAGGCACTGCAGAAGCAGTTAAAAATAAAAGACAAAATTCTTGGTCTTGGGACACTATAACAGGGGAAACACAAAATAAAGTAGATAAATAAAATGAGGTAAAATAAAAGTAGGATTGGGAGATGAGAAATCTAGTAAGCAGGCAAGCTGCACTTTTCAGAATGGTCCAGGGAAGGTCTCACTAAGCAGGTGACATTTAAGCAAAGCAGAAAGGAACTAATCAAACAGCCTTGTAAACCACAGGATGGAGACCACTGTCAGGAGAGGGATCTGTCAGGAGGGGTCAGGACAGCAGCAGAGCAGGAGTACCCAATGATGGAAAACCAGAGGCTAAGGCCTAGCAATCAAAAGATGTGGGAGACAGGGCAGAAAGCTAATGGGTTCAGATGATCTAAGCCTTTCTATGATATGACCACATTTACATATGTCGAATAGAAAAAGTTTAGAGTTCTCAGCAAATTTTTTTTTTTTTTTTTTTTGAAACAAGGTCTTGTAAAATTACTAAATTCTCCAGGTTGGGCTTAAACCTTTGATCTTCCTGCCTCGGCCACCCAGAATGCCGGGATATAAGTGTACACAAAAACCACATCCAGCAGGTCTTAAGCAGAACTTCACTGTCAGAGTTACTCTGCTGGTCTGTGAATAAACACAGCAACAGTAGAGGAGATGCAAGGTAGCGACAAGACCATTTGGAAAACACAGGGGAGAGGATGGTGATGTGGAGGAGAGATGTAGCTCTGCAGCTGCTATGGACTGACTGGACCTGGATGGATTGAAGGTTAAAAGCAAAGACCTTCTTGGTACGTTTGCTGCAGAGAAGAGTTCACAATGATGCTGAGGTTCTGGGAACCCTTAGATGCTGGGGCGGCGTTACATACGGATGACCCTGAAGTTCTGGGCTGAGTGAGCACTGGGCATTGGTGAGCCACAGGCTGTCAGTTGTACGTTCAGGCTGAAATGCAGGGCACATCCAAGTCAGAACCAGGCAGGACTCTGTGTTTTTATTAGGTGCTGTCCACGTGTGGGCCACAGGTAGCGCTGTGGACTAAACAGCAATAAGGAAAGAGGGCGAGACCACCCTGCGACGACTGCAGGACGAGGTGCGCGAGCAGCTCGAGAACCCCGCTCCCTCAATTCCCCGCCGGGTCCCCAAGTCCCGCGTGGTCTCCCCAGCACCTGTCGCCTGCTTAACCTGAGTCGCCTTTGTATGACCCGCTGGACTTGACGTGACTCTGTCGCGAGTCCTCTGACGCCAGGTTCAAGGCCAGCTGGAGCCCGGGCCGCCGCTCGCCCAGGGGCCACGGGTATGGGACAGTCCCTTCTCCTCCCCCGGGTTTCCAGGGTGTGGCGTCCTCTTTTTGGGCCAGAGCTCCTAGTACTGCGCTTCGGTAATTAAAATCGTAGACGTGGCCGCGACTGGTGGCCGCACCGCCCGTCCCGCAGCCACAGCAGACAGCGACTCACCACACAGGAAGGGCCGGCCGGAGTCGCAGAGAACCCTGTGCGCATGCGCCGTCGGGCTCCGGTGCTCCAAGAGGAAATCAGCCGCCAACCGGACCAGGGCTATCTGTGCACATGCGCAGTAGTTCTGCTGCCGGGCTGTCGCGCTACTAATAAAGTTTTAGCGAACACAGACTCCTTCTTCTCTGGCAAGATGGCGGAGTACGACCTGACCACGCGCATCGCGCACTTTCTGGACCGGCACCTCGTCTTCCCCCTCCTGGAGTTTCTCTCTGTGAAGGAGGTGAGAGGGATCGGGGCTCCAGGAGGAGCGGGGAAGGCTCCCGCCCGGTCAGGGGACCCTCGTGCGAGGCCGCGCGGGACGGCGAAGACGCGGCCGGGTTGGCGCGGTCCGTGGGGACAGGGTCGGGGCTTTGAGGAAACGCGAGGTGTCTAGATGGGCCCCGGGGAGTCCCGGTGTTTACGCGGGCGGAGGTGGCCAGGGACGCCGGTGGGGGTGGCGGGTGGGTGCCCAGGGCAGGCCGAGGTCCGGCGCCGGAAGTGCGGCCCGTGGGGGTGGCGAGCCCCTGCGGCCGGTCCGGGTTTGTGTCGGTCCGGGCGGCATGGGCCTGGGCTGGGGGCCCAGTTGTTTGGAAGGGCTTTTAAACGTGTAAACAGATCTAATGATTTCATTGCCATGAAGTTGTGGATTGTTTGCGTTAAGTTTCCCGAGCTTAGCCAAGTAGTCACTTCCTGGAAGCGCACCGTATAGTGTCAGTGAGGATCAAAAACAAAACCCTGCAACCCCAGTATGCGAACATACAGGTTTCAAATAGTTTGAATTGGGTCTTAACGTGTCTGTAGCTCTTCGAAATACTTTAAATAAGTATGTAGTTCAGGAACTACACCTAAAAACATGTTTTAGCCCCTAAAGTTTTTATTTTGGGCTGAAAGGAAGCTTAGGTTAAAAGAAATGCTAGGCTTAGTTACACGTTGAGTTTATTTGGAAATTGATACATCTTAACTACAATAGGTACTCTTACTGTGATAAAGGGTTTTGAATTTAGTAGAGAGAAGTAAATGAATTCTATTTCTGGAAGCAGATTTCAGCATAAACTACTTAAGGAACTCTAGATTTAGGGGCTGGATTTTGTTTGCCCTAACTGCAATGAAAAAAGTACTAGATGGTTTTGATAACTTCTCAAAGTTTCCAGGTAGTTAAGGTTCATTCACTAGACAGAAAGTCTCGTGTTCATAGTGTTATGAGATAGTTTCTTTAGAAATGGCTAGCCGATCAAAAGTATTCAAGGTTCTTGCCTGGAACAGAGATTGGACAAGCCAAAAACGGTGCCAGAAGATTTATTTGAACAGTGAAGAGTGGATGGGTAGGGAAGAAACCAGCTCTGCAAAGCACATTTGGGCCGAACAAAGAGAAAAAGGGTAAAAGCAAAAATAAACGTACAAGCAGGGCAGGAGGTATGTGGGGAGGGCTATTGTGGGAACTCAGTGGACTTCCGATGATGGCGTAGACTGTCAACCCTAACATCCGATGGGAGCTCCAGAAGTTCTATAGAAGAGGTTCTAGTGCTGCTCTGAGATCCTGTCATTGACAGGTCCCACTCACTTCTGGAGCCAGCTTTGCCGCATCTTATCTCCCGTATGATTATGAACCTTTCTGATAGTTGTAGAGATTAGGGAATACTAACGTTCAATTTTAATAAACGTTTAAGAGTCTCCTCAGATGAAACTTTTATCATGAAACAATGTATTTTCATCTTTTTGTTTTTTTGACTGTTTTAGAGCTTGTCTTCTGTTTAGGGGTAGGTGAGGACGATTTTCCACTTCTGAATTAACTGAGCGTGTTTCTTTTCTTTATGCTCTCATTTTTAAAGGGGGACAGAAGAAAGGGAGGCTTGTGTAGCTGTAAATTAGCTTTTCATACGGCAAAATTATGAGAGAATGAGAAAATTGGTTGAGATAGCTTTAATGTACAGAGGAAGATAGATGATAGTGATTACTAATGGTTGGGCTGTGGAATTCTGAAAAATATAAGATAAAGCCCAGGCATCACACTGTAAAAAGCTCACCTGTCCTCTAGAATTTAATGTCCATAATGCAAGGTGAAAAATCAATACAAATCAGACAAGTAATGTATTGGCAAAGTGCAGTCAAAAGTGAGGAGATTCCTGTTACCTTCAGTGGGCAGAAAGGATGTTGAGGACAGGTTTTGGGTCTTGAAGACTAGATGGTTAGGGAACAGTTGGCATTCGTGATGCATGTGAGTATTGAGTCTACTAAGAATAATAATTCCATATATTTTGAATATGTTGGACAATGTAAGCTCCATTACATTGGAAACTTTGTTTCTGCTGTGTGTGAAGTAAGAGTCTGGCATAAAAGCTTTAAATAGCTGTTTAAGAAATAAATTAGTACGTATTCATGTGTCGCTGCTTTTTATTCTTGTGTGAAGTGGGAGGACAAGTGGTGCTGTGTTAGTGTTAGGACCACAGCTCTGAATTTAGAGCTGGATTAGGCTCTGGCTCTATCACTTAACATCTCCAAGCACAAAGAATCAGGCCCCCCCCCCTCCCCGTTTTGGTCTTTTGAGATAGGAGCTTGCTGTGTAGTCCAGGCTGGGATGTAGCTATTGGTGATCTTCCTGTCTCAGCCTGCCAAGTGCTGGGATTAAAACCATGTGCTGCCACATCCAACTTTCTCCCAACTATGCCTTTTCTCATGAATAAGGTATCATTGCCAGTTTCGTAGGGTTGTTAGAAAAATTGCCAGAGATAGTACATTTAAGCATTTAGCTCCCTGAACAGAAAATACTCTTTTTTTTTTTTTTTTTAAACTTTTTATCGGTACCGGGGATCGAACTCAGGATCGCCTGCTTGCAAGGCAGGTGCTTATGCCGCTGAGCTAAATCCCCAGCCCCAGAATAAATACTCTTTAAGTATTTCTTGTTAAGGAAACTAGGCCACCCTGTCAGGGGAGGGGAAGAGTGAAAATTGTAAAGAGTGAGGAATAGACTGACAAAGACAAGTACAAGGATCTCTTTAAGTAGGGGTCCCAGCTAAGATCAGAAGCCGTCCGCAGCGTTAATGATAGTCAGTTGTCAGAACAGTGGAAGGTTGTAAGAGTAGTATGTCACATTAGAGATAGTGAAAAGCATCATTCATCAGAGAAAAGCACAGATGTGATCAAATAAATTGGTTACATTTTGATACATTTTGTAATTGTCCTGAGACCCTATAGAACAGGTGCTAGGCATTCAGACTTGAATTGTATGTGGTTGGAGGAGAATTGAAGAAAACAATAATAATGCTGAAGAGGAAAGTCTTCAAAATATCTAAAATACCAGTGTAGGGTAGAAGGTGACACCAAAAAAGAGTAACCCCAAAAATGGAGCCTGGCAGGAGGTGTGAAGGTGCTAAGAAGTCTCAAGGGTAGTGATAATGAGTGGTGTAAGCTGGAACCTCAGTGAGGAAGTGTATCATAGGGATTTAGGGGTGCAGTTTTAAAGAATCATTAATACAGATGTTGGCTATATGGAAGATGGTACCAAAGGCAGAGGTAGCAACAGGTGATTTTAATCTATTATAAAAGAGGAACTGTTGGGGCTGGGAATTTAGCTTAGTGGCATAGCACCTGCCTGGTGAGTGTAAGGTCCTGAGTTTGATTCTGGGTTCAAAAAGAAAAAAAATTAAATAAATGGGAGCTGTTTTCAAGACATTGGCAGCAAACTGGATCCCAGGAACCAAAGAACAGCACTGTAGTTCTTTCTGTGTGGTCTACAGCTATGAGTAGCTTTCAACAGATGAACATTTGCAATTATAAAACATTAATTTTATACTCTAGTTAAGTGAAATGTTTAAGAATCCTCTCATCCAGTGTTAACAAAAAATTTTACACTATTGTTAAATTTTTCAAAAACTGGAAATCTGTTTTATGCAGATTGATTATTCTGTAGTATTCTCAGTTTTTACCTTGACACAGATCTTAAAGACTTTCGGTGTGCTCCAGAAGTGCCTGTGGGGCAGTAAAGTAGTGAATGCATGCAAGTGTGGATTTGAGGAAAGGCGATTAGGGCTGAGATCAAAACCCTTGAATCCATAGTAGTGAAGGGAGAGACCTCACACATGAGAAGTTTTTAGTGGGTGTAGTGGGGAGAGGTGGTGTGCTATGAAGTGGATGTCTCACAGCAAACCTTAGTTTTATAATGCGTTTTATTTTGGGTAACACTAGAAAGTAATTTCACAGCCTTTGCCCTGAGCTACGTGCCCATCTCTTTCTATGTTTTAGTTTTTGAAATTTTGAGATGGGTCTTTCTTCTTCATTACATTGCCAGGAGTTGGGCTTGAATTTATACAGTTATCCTGCCTCTGCCTTTCAGAGTGCTGGGATTGTAGGCATGTGCTACTGTGCAGGCTGATTTGGGGTTTTTTTTTGTTGTTGTTGGTGGTGTTTTTTTGGTCTTTGAGACAGTCTCACTGTGCAGTTTAAGCTGGCCTTGAACTCACTTTGTAGCCCAGACCAATCTTGAACTTGCAGTGATCTTCCTCCCGAGGATCCTCCGAGCCTCCCAAGGGCTTGGATCACAGGTATGCGCCACCACACCTGACCTTGTTTGGGATTTTTGAAGCAGATTGTACAAGTGTAACAGTATAAATACTGGTCTGAATTTTTAAGAGCTCACTTGCATGAATACCGTCTACATCAGAATGTCACATTTCAAACATTCTAAATTGTCTTTCTGACCTTAGTCATTATTCCTGCCTCCCAAAGAAAATAAGCTGTGTAGTGATGATGATAGATTGATTTACCTGTGTTTTGAGGGGAGGGCACAGTATACTGAGGAGTAAGCTTGAGATCTGTGCACTCAGCTACACTCAGTCTTTGTTTTTTCTTATTTGAGACAGGATCTCACAAAGTCCTTCTTCTGTCTAGCAGATAAGTGCCACTACTCTAGGCTTTTTTGATTTCTGTGTACATGGAATTCAGCATTGACTGCGTGGGGATTTGGCTTGGTTTTGTTTGTTGAGACAGGATCTCTGTGTAGCCCAGAATGGCCTTGAACTCACTGTGTAGCTGACCTCATACTTGAGGTGATCTTTCTGCCTCAGCCTCCCAGATGCTGAGATCGCAGGTGAGCGTGTCAGACTTTATCTATTACTTTGACTTCTTTGACTCATTACTGTGTGAGTCGTCCAGGTTTTTAGGATAGTATGAGGTAAGGACTTTTGGTGCTAAATGTTAATCCATCATATTTGTTTATCCATTCTATTGATAGATTTGGCTGTTACAATTAGGGGTTCTATAAAAAAATTTTTTACATGTACTTTAGATGTATCCACTCTTCTTTTGGGGCCTGCGAGTAGAATTGTGTCACAAAATATGTATTTAGGAGTTTTAAAACATAAAAACAATTTTCCAAAGTAATTGTACTCCTGGCAGTGGAGTTAAGTGTTAAAATTAGTGCATTTTTATACTAACACTGATGCTGACAGGTTTTAGGGATTTTTTTTTTTTTTTTTTTAGTTTTTATTGTGGTTTTAATACTCATTTCCTTTATGATAAGTGACATTGAGAACGTTTTCATTTGCCTGTTGTCCAGTTTGTTAATTTCTTTTGTTTATACATTGTTTTTGAAATAGGTTCTAAGTTGCCTAGGCTGGCCTTGAACCTCCTGTCTCAGCTTCCAGAAGAGTTAGGATTATAGGCAGGTACTACCACACTTCACTGGTGATCCTAAAGAAAAGTGACTGTAGTCTTCTAGCTGTTTCAGTGGGATTATGTGTTTTATTTCATTGTTTTGTACCATAGGAGTTCTGTGTGTTAGTTTGGAAGGTTCAGTTTTGATCAAATTAGCTGTACCATTTGACCACCCGTGAAATACAGTGGCATCTTTCTGGATCTTTCTTTCCTTGGCAAAATACTCAGTACAGAAACTTCTATTTAGCTGAAACACATGTCTTCTTGAATTGTATTTTGTAGAATCCTTACAAAATGTTTAATGTAGTGCATATTTGTGTGTTGTTTAGGTGAGTTTGTGTGTATGTCTATTTGGTCCTTATACTATTGGTTAAAGTTTGTTTTCTCAACTCTTTGCAAAATAAAAACCTAATGTGACTGTGTTAGATTACAGGATGAGAGTTAGTTTCACTTTCCAGGTGTGGTTAGGAAGCATTGTACACAGCTACAACCATTCATCATGAGAACATGTGGGCATCAGGAGAGGTGGGTGGATGACATTGGGTGTAAAGGAAACTGCAAAGGTGAAAAACATTCTTAATTCCAGATGTGGAAAGGAGATGGCTGTAGGTGCTTTGTCGTGAAGGTGGTGTGATTTTCTTGGCTAAGTGCACCCTAGTGCATCCTCTAGAAAGGATAAGAATCTGGCTTGATTTAAGAAACATAAGACAGTTATAGTCTGTATTCCTGGTCATGTGGCAGGCTAAGGCATATCTTAGGATCCTCTAAAGGATCCTAAATTCAAGGTCAGCCTGTGGAAACAGTTTTCCAGTGCAGCTGCCTTTGTGATCACATCGTTGGCTAAGCAGATAGTCTTATGTCTCTGTAGGCTGGGCACTTACTCTCTGTCTGTCTTTCACGATACAAGAGGATGAATAGTTTCTGTTTTAAAAAAGATTGTTTGATGAAGCCCTTTTCTTTTCCAGATATATAATGAAAAAGAACTGTTACAAGGGAAATTGGACCTTCTTAGTGATACCAACATGGTTGACTTTGCCATGGATGTGTACAAAAACCTTTATTCTGACGACATTCCTCATGGTACGTATTGTCATTCGATCTGAAGCTTGCTTGTGGCTGAGAGTACATTTAGGTAGCTTTACCTAAAAGCCTAATAATGATGGATGATTTTAAAGTTCTTAGGGTGGAAGGTAGTATAAAGATTATGAGCTTTCTAAAGGATGTTGTTTGCTCCCTATGGACAGCCAGACCTTCATTTCTTCTGTATGATGTAACATCATAGTTGGCCTAGGGTTCACATTTTTTCCTGACAACTCCTTGAGAGTATAGCTTTTTGGTTACTAACTTTGGTACTTAGTCTTACAAGTGATTGCCCCACCCCACCGCACCCCACCCCACCCCTTTCTTACAGTATAACCTTAGTTTCCAGCTGGCTCTCTGGGCCAGCCCCATTCACCTGAAGAAGTACTCAGAAATTCAGATTTCAGTGTGGTCCTAAACTCAAGTTGAAGAATACTTAGGACAGGTTTCTGTAGGATGGCTGCTTCTTGAAAAATATAAGTCTGGCTGGGCATGGTGGTTCACATCTGTGATCCTAGCATTTGAGGCTGAGGTTGGAGGATGAGTTCAAGACTGGCCTGGGTTACAAAGTCACTTCAAGGCCAGTCTGAACTGCACAGCAAGATCCTGTCTCCAAAAAAAAACAAAAAACAAAAACCCAAACAAACAAAAAGCAAAACCCATAGTCCTATAAGTTTGGAAACTATGATAGTGTTTCCTTTGCTTAGAGAAATATAATTTACTTTGTTTAAATTGATACGGTATTTCTCATAATTTGATCACATATACCTTTCTGTATTTGAAAAACACTTTTCTAAAATTCACAGTGAGTATATTATAGTTTGTAACGAAAAAGCTAGGATATTTCTTATTACCTTTTTCTCTTTTTTTGAGATGAGGTTTGCTGTTTCCTGGGCTGGCCTCAAATTCTAGGGCTGACATGATCCTGCTACCTTAGCCTCCTGAATGGCTGGGACTATAAGCATGTGCCACTGTACCCACCAGAAATGAACTATTAATTCAGTTTCCTAGCAAAACATTATTATGGGGCTGAGGATTTTTAGCTCAGTGGTGTAAGCGCCTGCCTGGCAAGCGCGGTGTCATGAGTTTGATCCCTGGTATCAAAAAAAAAAATTACTATGTGAAAATTCTTTCAGATTTTTATGAATTAATAAAAGGAACTAGAATTTGATTTAAGAGATTAGAGACTGACTGGATTTATAGCAAAAAATCAATCATTGACTAGATTTTCAATATCAGTTAACCTAGTTGAAAAAATCAATGACTACCATTTCCTGCCCTCTCTTCACCCCTTCCCCAGTGTGTACATGTACCCCCTTTTCCCTTAAGTGTAGACAAGGGCTTTTTTCTCCATTATCTGCCTTTGTATTGCTAGGAGAAAAGAATTGTGACTCGGGAAAGGTAGCCAGTTGGCGCTGGCGTGTGAATGTATCTGAGGTAAGTATATATATGTGTGTAGTTTTAAGTAAATTGAAATTTTTCCAGACATTGTTATGGTGAGCCGTAACACATTTAGCATTCTTTAACATCACATCGTTCATTTGTATTTCTCATTAGCTTTGAGAGAAAAAAGAACCACAGTTGTTGCACAACTGAAACAACTTCAGGCAGAAACAGAACCAATTGTGAAAATGTTTGAAGATCCAGAAACTACGAGGCAAATGCAGTCAACCAGGTAATCTTTTCTTCTCTTTTCGTAGTTTTTTTTTTTTGAGACAGGGTCTCACTTTGTAACCAGCTGGCTTTGAGCTTACTGTGTAACCCAGGCTGGCCTCAAACTCAGTGATCCTCCTGCCTCAGCTTCCCAGGTGCTGTGATTATAGGCATGCACTGCTGTACCTGACCAGGTAATCTTTTCTTTCTTTTTTTTAATTTTAAGGGGGTAAAACAGAACAAAACAGATCATAAGAACAATGTAAGAGATGCAGATTTCAAAGCTAGACAACCAGAAATTTTCACTGTCTATCACATTGTCTCTTCTTTTGTTCCAAATAGTTGTCCCTATCTTTGCATACAATGAATTCATACAAAAAAATGTATGAAACTGATTAGAACAGGATGATGAAGGTATTTCAGGTCTTCAAGACCAGACAGTAGGGAAGTCAACAATGGCTGCCATAATGTCTCTAATTCTCTTCAAAATAGCTGTCCAAACCTTCATGTATGTTGAAATTAAACAAAACAAAACAAACTAAAATCACTCTAAACAAAGAATAATAGTATTACTGAATTTCACATCACGACACTACGGAATCAGCACTGGGTACCTTAGTGTCTCTTTTTCTTCAAAGTAGCTGTTCATTTCATTGTGCATTATATAATCGAATCTCATGAAGTGTTTAGAAGTTCAGTGCATGCATGAGTCTCTACATGTATACCTGTCCTTTCTGTATTAGAGGGAAAACAACAAAACAAGGCAAAACAAAACACATTCCTAGAAAAACATGAAACAAGAGATACAAACAACAATAGCAAAGAGCACAGAACACCGACAGTATTGGCCTTCAAAACAAGGTGGTATGAGTGTACCTAGGGTTGTATTTTACATAATGATCTTCAAGAGTTGCTCAGATCGCCATACAATAATATGCACAATTGTTCCAATCCCATGAATGTAAACTATTTTAAGAACTTACAGAATTTGTAGCACAGTCATCTTCGCTATCATAAGTGTGTCCATATAATTTTAGATATTTTTTCTTGAATTTCCTCATTACGTGAGATATTATTTTTTCCCCTTTAAGGAGGTTCTTGTCCTTTCACTGTGTTTATTGAGTTTTTTGTATTGTATGTACTGTTACCATTTCTTACACTAGGGAGACTATGATATTTACACATGTGAGTTTGATTTATTTCACTTATGAGTATGGTCTCAAGTTGCATCCATTTACTTATAAATATCTCAGTGTGATCATTCTTTATAGCAGAGTAGTACTCCATTGCATAAAAATACCATCACTTTGTTATCCTTTCCTCAGTTGATGGACACTTAGGTTGTTTCCAAGATCTGGCTATACAAATTGTGCTGCTATAAACAGGGGTGTACATATGTGACTGTAGTATGTGTTTTCCGTTCTTCTGGGAATATGCCCAGAAGTGGAATCGCTGGGACAAATGAGACTTCCAACCCCAGCTTTTAGAAGAACCTCCAGACTGACCTCCACAATGGTTGTGCCAGTCTGCACTCCCACCAACAGTGCAGGAGAGTTTCTTTTTCACTGCAGCCGCTCCAGCATTTGTTGTTGGTGGTTTTCTTGATCCTGGCCATTCTTTCTGGAGTGAGATGGAGTCTCAGTGTGGTTTTAATTTGCATTTCTCTGATGACCAATGATGCTGAATATTTTTTCATGTATTTATTTGCCATTTGTATTTCGTCATGTGAGAACTGTGTATTCATCTCAGGTGCCCATTTTTGGAATGAGTCTTTCAATTTTGAGGATCTGATTTTTTTTTTTTTTAAATATTTTATATGTTCTGGACAGAAGTCCTTTGTCTGAGGGACTGTTCACTAAGATTTTTTTTTCCCAATTTGTGGGTTTTCTTTTCACTGTGTGGGAGATTTCTTTTGACATGCAGAAATTCTTTCAATAGAACGTGATCCGAGGTGTTGATTCTGTGAAGTATTTCGCTTCTTGTGCATTTTGATCCTTGTTCATGAATTCTCTACCTACTCCGTGTTCAAGATTTCTACCTACTTTGTCTTCCAACAAATCCAGTGTTTCTGTTTTAATATTTAGATCTTTGATCATTTAGACTTTAGTACACGGTAATAGGCATGGGTCTAGTTTTAATTTTCGGCATATAGAGAGCCAATTTTTCCGGCACCATTTATTGAAGAGACTATCTTTCTTCCAGTACACGTTTGGCCCTTTTGTCAAAAATAAGGTGGCTGAATGTGTTTGTAGTTGTAGTTGTAACTTCAGTCTATTCCATGGATCTTCAGGTCTGTTTTTATTCCAGTACCATGCTGATTTTATTACAGTAGCTTTGTAGTATAACTTCAAGCCAGGGATTGTGATGCCTCCTGCCTTGCCTTTGTTGCTTAGAATTGCCTTTGCTATTCTAGGTCTCTTCTGGTTCCAGAGGAATTTTAGGAGTGATTTCTCTAGATCTGTAAGGTATGCTAGTGGCATTTTGGTTGGGATTGCATTAAATCTGTATAACAATTTTGGGAGAATGGCTATTTTTGCAATGTTTGTTCTTCCTATCCATGAACAGGGTATGTTTTTCCATTTCCTGAGGTCTTCAGTTTCTTTTTCAGGGTATTGTACTTTTCCTTGAATAGATCTTTTGCTTTTCTTATTAGATTAATTCCTAAGTATTTCATTTTTGTGGATGCTATTGTAAAGGATGTGGCTTCTCATATCTTTCAGTGGTTTTGGTGTTAGTGTATAGAAATGCTGTTGATTTTTGAGTATTGATTTTGTATCCAGCTACATTACTAAATTTATTTATCACGCCTAGGAGTCTTTCAGTGGAGTTTGGAGGGTCTTCTATGTAAAGTATCATTTCATCTGCAAATAATGATAATTTAACTTCTTCTTTTTCTATTCTTACTCCTTTTATTTCTCTTTCTCATCTAATACTAATATTAGCTCTGGCTAGTATTTCTAGCACTATATTAAATAGGAGTGATAGGATTGGACATCCGTCATGGTCCTGATTTTAGGGTAAAGGCTTTCAGTTTTTGGCCATTTAATATGATGCTGGATGTTGGTTTATTATAGATGGCTTTTATCATATTGAAGTAAAGCCCATCTATTCCAGTTTTCTGTAAGATTCTTGTCATGAATGAATGTTGGACTTTAACAAAAGCTTTTTCTGCATCTATAGAAATTATCATGTCATTCTTATTTTTGACTATTGATATGGTGGATTACATTTATTGATTTGCATATGTTGAACCATCCCTGCATTCCTTGGATGAATCCCACTTGGTCATGGTGTATAATCTTCTTGATGATTTGCTGCATTATGCTTGCCAAAATTTTATTGAGAATTTTTGCATCTGTGTTCATAAGGGAGATTGGCCTGTGGCTCTCTTTTTTTAGTTGGGTTTTTCTCTGGTTTTGGTATTAGAATAATGTTTGCTTCCAAGAATGAGTTAGGGAGAATTGTTTACCTTTCAATTTCATTGAAGATTTTGAGGTGTGTGTGCATTAAATCTTCTTTGAATTATTGGATAATTCAGCAGTTTTACCTCTTCTTGACCCAGCCTGGTAATTCACATGTTTCTAGGAGTCTGTCTGTTTCTTCCATGTTATCAAGCCTATGGTAGTAGAGATTTTCAAAATAGGTATTGATGATCTGTATTTCCACAGGAGGGTCTGTAGTGATTTTACCCTTTACATTTGTTATTCCATGAATTTGAGTTTTTTCTTTCCTTTTTTAAATAAGGTTGGCTGGAGGCCTGTCAATTGTATTCTTTCAAAGGACCAACTTTTTGATTCATTTATTCTTTGTATTGTTTCCTTCCTCTCTATTGCGTTGATTTCTGCTCTGAGCTTTATAATTTCCTCCCTTCTTTTGGCTTTGGACTTGACTTGCTCTTCTTTATCTAGATGTTTGAGGTGTAGCATCAGGTTGTTTATTTTGTTTATTTTGTTTTCGTGATGTGGGAGTTCACCACAATAAATTTTCCTCTGATGACTGCTTTCATTGTGTCCGACAGGTTCCGGTAAGATATTTGTATTTTAATTTGCTTCTAAATATTGTTTAATATCTTCCTTAATTTCCTCTGTGACCCACAGATTGCTCAAGAGTATATTATTCAATTTCCATGTTTGTGGGGTTTTTGCAGTTTCTTTTATCATTAATTTCTAGTTTCATGGTGCTATGATCTGATAACAGGCATGGGATAATTTCAATTCTATTGCATTTACTTAAGCATGTTGTATGGGTAGCATATGTCTATTTTAGAGAATGTTCCACGTGCTGTGAGAAGAATGTATATTCTGATGTTTTTGGGTGAAAGACTGTATACATCATTTAAGACCCTTTGTTCACATGTGCGATTCAGTTCTGTTATTTCTTTGCTGATTTTCTGTCTAGTTGATCTGCCCCTTTGTGTCAGTGGCATGTTAAGGTCTCCTGTTATAATTGTGTTATTGGTTATTTGATTTTTCATTTTTGTTAGTATTTGTTTTATGTAGCTGGGTGCTCCCAAATTTGGTGCATATATATTTAAGATTGTTATCTCTTCCTCTTGACGTTTTTCCCCCAACTAGTATGTAGTGGCTATTTTCTATTTTTTGGTACTGAGGATTGAACTCATGACTTTGTGCTTGCCAGGCAGGCGCTTATGCAGCTAAGCTAAATCCTTAGCCCTTGTAGTGGCTTCCTTTATCTCGCTGGATCATTCTTGGTTCAAAGTTCACATTGTGTGCAAATAGAATAGCTACCCCTGCCTCTTTTTGGGATCCTGTTGCATGGAGTATTGTTTTGCATCCTTTGACTTTCAGTCAGTGAGTTTCCTTTTGAGTTAGATGGGTTTCCTGTATATAGCGTATGGTTGGATATTGTTTCTGAATCCACTGCCAGTCTGTTTCTTTTAATTGGTGAATTGAGGCCATTTACATTAATGGTTATAACTGATGTATTGATTTACTTTTGACACGTTAGCTTTCTGTTGTTGATTCTTTACCTTTCTACCCTGTTTAATTGTTTGCCTTGCTTGGTGGTTTTTTGCTATGTCTGTCTAGAATGTCTTTCAATAATCTTTGCAGTGTTGGTTTGGTGGTCATGGAAGTTCTTCAGCTATTCTTTGTCATGGAAGTGTCTCATTTCCCCATCCATTTGAAGGACAGTTTTGGGTTGGAAGTCGTCTTCCTGTAGGATCTTAAATACTTCACCCCATGCTCTTCTTGAACTTGATTGTTTGTGTTGAGAAGTCTGCTGTGATTCTGATAGGCTTTCCTTTGTGATCTGTGTTTTGTCTCTAGCGGCTTTTAGTATTCTGTTCTTATGTTGGATTTCTGGGATGTTGATTATTATATGTCTGGGGGTAGTTTTATTTTGGTTATGGTTATTTGGAATTCTATATGCTTCACTGATCTGTATGTCAGTTTCCATTCTCAGGTCTGGGAAATTTTTAGCTATTACTTCTCTAAATAGCCTCTTGATAACGTTTGTGTTGTCACCTTTCTTTATGTTTATACCTATCAGTCTTATGTTGTTTTTCTTTGCATCATTTCACAGTTGTTGAATTGTTATTTCCTGGTTCTTTGTTATTTTTAAAAGATCTTTCCTGTTCACTAGCTGCAATCTTGTCTTCGAGGTGTGAAATTCTATCTTCACTTTCATTCAGGCGGTTTTGCCAACTTTTGATGGAATTTTTGATTTCCTGTATATCTCTTTGAATCTGCTTCATGTATTCTGCTTGTTTCTTATATTGATCATTCAGAGTTTCCATCTTTTTGCATTGTTCCTCTAATTTTTTAACTGTGGCTTCTTTAGATGTGTTTAGCATTTCTTTCATTACATTAATCATTTCTTCTTTTACCTGGGAGACTGTTTCTGATTTGAGTTCTTTTATAGCTTTCCAGACTTGTTTCTTGACTTCATTTGGTATCATTTCAGGAATTGCAGGTGTATGGCTTATATTTTCTTCTGTGTCCATGTCTCCTCTGCTTGTTTGGGTTGGGCTGGAAGTTTGAGATTGCATATTGCTCTTTCATTTTGTCATTTTTCTGTATTTCTAGGTTTTGAATGCTGTTTCAAAGCTTCCCCCGTGCACTGAGAATCACCTGGCACACTTTTGGCTCTCGGGGCAGACTGCAGGCAACTGCCAGCTGTTTGGAGCTTGCCAGACATGGGCCAGTTGAGCATGCAGTGCATGGTCTTACCGCTTGGGAGCAAAATTCTGAGGTTGCCCTGTGCCCTGGTATTCAACCTATGGGCATTCAGGGCCTTGCTACTTTCTTGGAGTTTCCTGGGTGTCCTAGGGTGATTTCAGATGCAGGACATGGTCTTAACGCCTGGGAGCGAAGTTCCAGGATTTCCTTGTGCACCGGGATTCAACCGGGTCCTGCGTTTAGGGCCCTGGACTGGATTCCAGCTCCTGCTAGCTGCTTGAAGTTCGCTGATAATCTTTTCTTAACTTGGATTCTAAAACTTCTCTTTCATAAGTTAGTGCAAATATCAAGTTACCTAGTACTCCATAGTAAATATTTATGGCCTAGATGCTTTTTTCCTGTGCTTGTTTACATTTATCTCTTTTTATAGGGGGCAGTATTTTTAGAAGCCAGGGACCCCAGTCCCTTTTAGTTTTGGGGGGTAGAGTCTCATGAATTTGCTCAGGTTGGCTTCCATCTTGCCATCACACTGCTTCTGCCTCTTGGATAGCTGGGATTTTCAGGCATGTCTCACCATGCTTAACTTAATGTTAACATTTTTAGAAAGCTTTTTAACTTATTCAGAGTTGATATTTTGGTGGCAGTTCTATCCGCTTTCTCTTCCAGGGGACTTTTGGTGATGCCTGGCTATGTTTCTGGTTGTTGCAGCTGGAGAGGTGCCATGGCATGTAGTGAGTAGAAGTCCAGAGCGACTCAACTTCCTATGGTGCACAGAGCCATGCCATGTGCTCCCCAGCAGAATGAGTGACACAGTCTGGGGTGGTGCTTGAGAGGCCAGGGCACAGGCAGCGCTTGGTGCAGCACCTGCCACTGACTGGGTGAATTTCCTCACTGTTTGCTCACAGCCATGGAACAGTGAGGGGCTGATGAGATTGTCTTATCTCTAACTTCCCTGTAGCTAGAAACAAACTTGTTTGTTTTCCAAAGAAAGCCTCAGTCTGTCTTAATGCATATAAGTAATTGAAGCCTGTTTTCTCAAACCAGAGTTGTAGAAATCAGCACTAAATTTTTATTTGTGCTTTGGGGAAGTATTTTTGAAAAGACAGCAAATATTGCACAGCTACCGTGCCATACTTAAAATACCTCATGTTATATTTTGTGCATATGCAGAAATATACAGACACACATATTCCAGTAAAGTGTGTCTTAGGTACAACTCTGTAAATATATGTGTGTCATGTTAAACTATTTTTAGATTCTTAAAATAAAATATCATTGCAGACCTGAATGATACGTGTAAGCACCCACTGAGGGACAGCTGAAATATACCAGACACTAGAGTAAGGCAGAAAAGTGAGGGTGCTTTTTTAGTCTTGTCATTAAAAACTGGAAAAAATGGGACGCCAGGGTATGCATAAGATGAACATAAGAGGTATTCACCAAATAGCAGAAAAACAGAATTCTTTGTAGTTTAATAGGCACTAGTTTGGAGTTAATTCAAGTAATTGTTACAAATTTATAATCTAATTAAACTTACTAAACTATGTATTTTCAAAGTAATAATTTCCCCCTAATTCTTTTGAAAATGCACTGTACATACCACTTCAGAAATACCAGCCAAAAGGCAGTCTTCTATACCTGAGAGGTAGAAGAGATGTGACAGTTATTATCTGGGATCTACAGCAGTTGCTAAGATCTCCTGCAGTCCTTCCATGTTCTAATATCTTGTGTGCGTCATATTCAGTATTATACCCAATTTGATTTGAATGAGGAAATAGCCCCTCACTGTTAAATTTTTAAGTAAAATTATTATCCCAAAGACGTGCTGCAGCACATTCCTTCCTGCCAGCAGGCTAAGAATGTGTTTAGTTTTTGAAACTGCTCATAAGGAAGGCAGCTGTCCCCATCTGTCTTCTGTTCCTTTGTCATCAGCTTGTCTTTTGCTTCTCTGCCAAACTAATGTGAGAAAAGTTAAACTGGCTTGTGTGGCAGTTTGATGAGGGTAATATTGTAAAGGGTATGTGGCATAGATACATAATTTTGTCTGATTTATTAATTTTGTAACTTTGCACTCTTTTTTGTTTGTTTTTTGTTTTTTGGTACCAGGGATTGAATTTATGACCTGACGCTTGTCTGGCAAGTGCTTTTACTGCTGAGCTAAATCCCAGTCAACTTTATACTCTTTTCATAAAAATATTACAGATTAAGGAGGAAATTTATATGTAGGAATTATTTTTGCTAGTTTTTGTAGTACATTTATTTGACTTTCTCTCCTATAAGATTATTATCTATCAAAAATGTAGCCATACTGTTCTCTGTAGGTTACCACCTTCAGAGACTACTAACCTTACTAGCAACATTGAATGTTATGATTTGTTGGATGAAAAACTTAATCTTATTTTAGATGTGAAACTGAATAGATGATTTCCAACTACGGCTGTAGAATGCTTACTTTGTTTTTGGTGGCCTAAAAAATATGGTAACTTTTACTTTTTCTTATTTAGGGATGGTCGGATGCTATTTGACTACCTGGCAGATAAGCATGGGGTAAGTTTTTTTTTTATAACGTTTTTCAAATATTTCAGAGTAGTCATGATCTAATCAGGCTAATTAAAGACCAGTGTTGTAGAGAAGGGTTCATAGCTTACTTTAAGAAAATAATTTTCATGTTAACTTATTAAATCTAAATAAAATGATATGTTTTCCAAACTTTAGTTTTTAAAAATTAGTATGATGAAAAAAAATGTGTTTATAATCACCTTCAGATAGTACATTTTCTTTTTTTTTTTTTTTTTTTTTTTGTCTTTTTCCTTTTTATTGGTACCAGGGATGGAACTCACGACTGCCTGCTTGCAAGACAGGTGCTTATGCCGCAGAGCTAAATCTCCAGCCTCAGATAGTACATTTTCAAAATGTTTACATATTCAAAAATAATATTTTGTGTTAGTGTGGACAGTAAACCAAGAATAACAGAACATGCCATCATTTCTTAATCAATTCACAAGTATATCAAAGCAGAGCTAGATTTGAATTAAAAATACTTAGAGTGGTAGAATCAGTACTCTGGCAGCTTTGTGGAATATGGTGACCCTTGACATTATCAAGGTCTTCATTAAATCCCCAAGTCCACAAGTAAACCTGTGTAATAACTTTCTTTCCATCTTCATCGGTTTTACTTTATGCTGACTTGGAGTGTGACATTTACGTGCAATTAATTCTTTACCTCCTTCCGAGGGTTGTCCATCATCTGGTAATTACTGTGATGAAAGAATGAATGGCCATTATGCACACAATAGGCTTCCATGCTAAATATTGGTTCGGTTTTTTTGTATGCTCATTTGGAGTTGTAGATTTCTTGTTTCACTTTGTCATTCTTTGCATTGTTCCATTTAAAAGCTGGAGTTTGAACCTAAGATCTTGTGCGTGCTAAGTTAGTGCTGTACCACTGAGTTAAATCCCAGCCCTGTACATGTTGTTTAGGTAGGGCCACAAAAACTTACATGCTTATATGCATGGTGGTTGGCCAAACTCAGTCAAAAGGTAAAGGACTCAAACATCAGACCTTCAACTGTAATTCAAGTTCGTATTGCCATAAAGTACACATCATTATGGCTAATAACTCTTTGCTATCAAAATGGAATATTAAATTGACCAATTCCTGCTGTGTTTTAAAGAGCAAGTGTTTATCTGGTTGTAGTATTTATTTTTGATGACAGTTTGAGGGACTATTTAATAACTGAGGGCATTTAAGGGAATGAGTGGAATTTTAAGGTGTAAAATTAACAAATGGAATTTTTATTGTTTTAGTTTAGGCAGGAATATTTGGATACACTCTACAGGTATGCAAAATTCCAATATGAATGTGGAAATTACTCAGGAGCAGCAGAATACCTTTACTTTTTTAGAGTGTTGGTAAGTACTTTTATTTTCTATGTCTTCTGTTTTTGTAGAATTTCTTAAAACGTGCATGTATTTGAGTCTGTTCACTAAATTCTCAAAAGATACTAGTGAAGAAAAGAAATAAAATCTGCCTCAAGAAAAAACAAATAGCTATAAGAAAACTTTTGTTAGAACCTCAGAATTTATTTACCTACGACCTCAATGGCAGAGTGATTGAAAAATAGAGTACATACTTAAATTATAGCCAAAAACACATTGCTGTTAATCCCCTCAAAATAAAACTCCTTTCCTTTTGCTTCAGACACACACATCCTTCCCTTCTTGCCATTTCTGAATTGGTTTTGGAGTCCTTTATCCTGACTATCTTTAGTCACACTGTCCTGGCTACCTTTCCTATCCTGAATTGATTCCAAAAGTTTCCCTTTTGCATTGGTTTTGACTTTGGGAAGAGCCAGAAGTTACGTGGTGCTAGATCTGATGAATAAGGTGGATGAGAATATATCATACTGTTTTTATGAGTCTCTGTCTTTTCTGGCATGAGATTCAGCAGACGCATTCGCTGTATTTTTAATGCCACCTCTTAGAGACACTTCTGAAAGAGGGCTTCAGTACTGCTTCAGAACAGGGCGGGAATAATGGGATGAATGTGTCTGCAGTGGGAAAGAGGATTTTATGGGGGTTAATGACAATGTGTTTTTCTCTACAAGAACTTTTTAAAATGTAAACATTTACCATCCATTTTAATTACAGTTTGTATTAGATTGTAAAGATGAAGTTTCTTCATTATGTGGGGTGTAGAGAAATTTAAATGGTAAATATTGACCATAAAGTAGTTTATTATTTTCATTAGTCTATTTGACAAATTCTTTGATTCATTGCTTTTGTTAGGTAAGGAAAGTTGGGTGAAGCCAAATTAAAAATCAGACCTTTAAGTTAACAGTTTTCTTCTGTTTAGGTAATTATATTAAACACTAGAATATTCAGTGTCCTTTCGTTTGCAAAACTGTAATTTGCTACTCATTTCTGGATTAGTAAACAAATAACTAAATTTCTGATTTTTCTAGTTAAAACTAGAAGAGGAATAGGACCTCTTCACAGAGACTTTCTATCTTTCAATCTTGGGAAAATCTGAGGTTTTCTGTCTTTGTTGAACCAGACCCTTTGAGTATTGAGCTACATTTCCAACACCACCTCCCTTGTTTGGTTTTTTGAATCTTCTAGGTCCCAGGTTGTACAGCAAGACCTTGAGTCTGCAACCCTTCTAAATTATAAGCATGCATTGTCACCCTCCACACACACACACTTGTAGCTTCACATCCCGCAAGATAAAACTATGGTTGTTACCTTTAGTTTTTCTAGGAAATTAAATTTTATTTTTGTGGGGAGGAAAGAGATTGATATTGGTGATTCGGGTAATTTTTCTACACTGAAATTGCATTTTTCTTTTCCGTTTATAAGTGTGTCTGTCCTTCATTTGCAGATTAGTGATAGTTAGCTTGCAAGTGCATTGAAGGTAATCAGTGATAGTAAACTTGGTAGTGACTTATCAAAAAGTTCTATCAATTTTACTTTGAATATTACCAGGGATTTAGGAGAATAAAAGTTGATCACTTTAAAAATATAAACAGCTTAAACTGGGATTGTAAAATCAGAAGCCAGGTATGATTACAGGTACATAAAAAGAGTTGGTTATTCGTATCATTTGTTAATGCTGGGAGTGAATTTTGAGAATGAAGATTTAGTGTCGCGTTAGAGTTCCAGCACAGTAAATTTATTGTTGCTGGTGAGTGAGTGAATGTGCCATTTTGCTAAGACATGGAAACTTAAGGTAACTGCTGGCAACACAGATATCCAAGCTCTGCTAGCATATCCAGCCTTGAAAGCAGGTCGGCATGAAGAGCCAACTGTAATGACATGGAAGGGAGCCAGAGTGGTACACGTGAGCCTGTGGGATTAAAAACCCACTGCGCTCCTTCAGAAAGCTTTTATCCTAGTACATGAAACATATTCTGGTTTGACGATGTGGTTATGTTTCTTGGGCAACTTTGTAATTTGCCTAAACGTTGCTAGAATTAGTAGATGTATACTTAAAGTCTTGGGGAGTTTTTATGTTTACTGTTTTGAATTATGAAGATTTGGGTAGTTCTGTCTTACAAATTGGAGGTTGGTTTTAAGCTTTTGCAGTGCTATTAACTCACATCTTGTAGTGGAATTAAAATAGCAGCTATTAGGTAATTGAATATTCTGATATGAACACAAAATTAATGTGATTCATATTAAAAGCAGTTAGTATATGGAGATGGGATAGTTGATAGAAGTTATGTGCAATTCATGTTTAAGTTTTTGTCTCACTTGTGCTATAAAAACATTTGAGTTAAGTGGGAATTGATTTCTTCCAATTGGCACGTGGGCAGAGGTTAGCAAAATCAGGATTGGAAGACTAGATTGTACTACTTATTTACATTTTTATTTTGATTAGTTTGAGCTTTTTATAGCAAAAATAAAAATCTTGTTTCAGTTTTGGTAGAAAATGCTAGTGTTGTAGTTAATTTTTTTTTTTTTTCTGCAGTGGCTTTTTCATTTCTAAGTTCTTTTCTGATAGTTGGTTATTCTTCTAAATCTGTGGTTGTGGAAACATAAGCTATGAAAGAGCCATTGTACCTGTGATCCGAGTTTAGAATTTGACTCTCCCAATGACCTATTGTAGGTCATAGTGTGTAAAAATCTAAGCTGTGTGACCCTAGAACCTGCCTTTCTCATAAAGAGACTTGGGGCTTTTAGAATGCATTGGAGAATATTTAGGAGCAGGTTGGTAGAAATTTTTTAGTCTTTTGCTTTAAAAGTTAACCTTGAATTTTGTGAAAACATGCCCTCATCTGGAGTCTTTGGTTTGCCTCTACAGTATCACCCGTTACCTCCTTTAGGCAGCTATTTTAAGTAAAAGTGGTTTTACAGAATTAGAACTATTTGAGATCATATTTTTGTAGCTATTTTTCCTTCACTCAGATTTAAGATGCATCAACGGATGATATTTAAGACTGCTTCTAAGAGTTTCAGTACAGACAGAGTTGAGTGGCACCTGCCTATAGTCCCAGGTGCTCTGTAGATAAAAGTGGAAAGGTCTCTTAAGGTGGAGACCAGCCTGGGCAGTAGACCAAGTCCTCTACGTGCCCCAAAAAAGCTGGTGTAAGGGTGACTTCTAGAAACATCAGGATCTAGGCTGAAGTTTTGGCTTGGATGTACTCTGTTATAAAATCAGTAGGAGAGATGTCTATTTCATCGATTGTTATATTTTAGAACCTGTAATTGTTATGTGTCTTAAGTTCACTGTGTTGATTTTGAAGCATAAAATCATAGTGTATCTTAAAATCCATAAATCTCAGACTGAAACACTTTAATGCTTAGATTATTTAGATTACTCAAACACTGATACATTATACCAATAATCAGAATAGTGACTTTTGTGGATTTCTATTAAGTCAGTTTAAAATTTCAATGTATTCTGGCAAATGTATATACTTGTATGATTATTACCAATTAAGGTAGACTTATTTCTTGTACTGCATTGTAGCTGTACTCTTAACTATACTCTGACAACCAATGATCTGCTTTTGGTACCTGTAGGTCAGCTTCAGTTGTCCTAGAATTTCATCTGGAATGATGGAGTGTGTATATTTGTGTCTAGCTTATTTTTATCAGCAAGTTTTTGAGATGCATTCCTACTGTGTGTCTCAGAAGTTAGATTCTTTTTATTACTGAATACTGTTCATACAGTTTATTCATCTGTTGAACATTTGGATTACTGCTGATTTAACAAATCAGAAAATTGTCATGAATATTCATGTACATGTATTGTGAATAATATGCGTTGTGACAATTAGAACTTTGGTTACATGACTATGACTCAATATAATTTATGTAGTCTCTTGCTTGCCTGTTCTTAGAGTTTGCTAAATGTCATTCAGTACATTTGAGATAATTACTGCCATCCAAGGAAGAAACCCAATATGGGTGGAGTTGGTATTATCCTTCAGATAACCAAAGTACCCTGACATCCTTTCCATTATTATTTTGGTAATGCCTCACATTTATTGATGTCTCACTTAATGTATCAGTGTATTGCATTATTTTGAGTTACACAATAGCTCAGATGGATTCTGGTAACTGTCTTTATGTTATAAATTAAGCTAAAGCTCAGATGATCCAGCTGCTTTTAATAGCAAGACATAGAGCTGGAATGTTTGGTTGTTGGGTTTCTACACTTGCGATATAGTTTAACTTAGGGTGTATAGTAGTGTTTTATAATACAGTGCCACGGGAGTATGTGGGTGAGAAGTTAAGTTAAATTTCACCTTGGGGTGCAGCAGTGTGTTTTTATCCCTCCAGTGCCCTCACTTTCATTGCTGTGACACAGTTCAGTCATTTTACTTACTCCTTTTGCCTGCTGAATGAATGCTGTCTTACTCATTTTTGATATTAGCCTGGTCCTCAATAGGACTTTTGAGTTTGTCACTCTTTTTCAGCAGTAGAATAGCGTAGCTCTTACAAGTGTACAGGATATATTACAGGATAAAACATGTAACTTTCGTGATTGTAAGTGTAATTTTGAGCACCTTAAGCTCCTCATCTATTAGTCTTCCTCTAAAATGGGGATTTAAAAAAACTAGCTTTTGGAGGGTTTTGTTAAGATTTCTGGAAAACTAAGTTTAGGTATCTAAAATTAGTGTCCATTAAATTTCTGCAGTAAGTCAGGCTAAAAAGGCACTGCTGTTTTCCTGATTTTAAAAGTTATCCTTTATTTTCTGATCTAGACCGAATGATACAGACAAGTTTAAAATAAGATGTGTTTTAAATAGTTTTTTATCTGAAACGTGATCCAGTGAGGATTTGAAATAGCTGGAGTTTGAGATAGACCACCTACAGGCAGGCATTTGAGTAAGGCTAGATGGGTATGTGGGGTATAAAATATACATTGTCTTTTTCCCACATTGCAAAATACAGTTAAGTGTGATTTCTTTCATAGGTTCCAGCAACTGATAGAAATGCTTTGAGTTCCCTCTGGGGAAAACTGGCCTCTGAAATCTTAATGCAGAATTGGGATGCGGCCATGGAAGACCTTACCCGCTTAAAAGAGACCATAGATAACAATGTGAGTTACGCTTTTCCACAGTGAATCTTTAAAATTTCTGTGTACACAGCATAGTTTCTAGCAAGGAAAAAGCACTGTGTACTTTGGGAAAAGAAAAATAAATTTTTAAGTTTCAGATTCTTTTGTTGACCAGACCCTTCCTCCCAGGACTGCAGAATGGCAGGCTTCTTTGGCTTTCAGAGAACTCAGTCTTTATTGCTGTTTGAGCTATAGTGCTTTCTAAACTAAGCGACAAGACAATGTGTCATTAAGTGCTACCCGTCTCTGAAAATCCTGTGCACTAGGTGACAGTTTTTGTCTATAAGAATGTTTACTTTAGTCCCAGTTTTTTTTTTAATGTTTTCTGAAATGATTATAACAACTTATATATAACCTCTTAAGTGTGGGTGATTGTGCATTATTGATTCTGTCTCCTAGGAACAGTGTGATAATATAGAACATCAAAGATATGATAGAAAGGATCAGGATCAGACTTTGGTCTTAGTGATCCTCTTACATGCCTTCATGTGGCCTGGTTTTTAAGTCCGACTTTGCGGTTGGTGGTGTCCCCTGTCCTCTTCTTCCCATGCTAATTTATGCTACTTGCACCTTTCTCAATCCTGCAGTCTGTGAGTTCTCCACTCCAGTCCCTTCAGCAACGAACGTGGCTCATCCACTGGTCTCTGTTTGTTTTCTTCAATCACCCCAAAGGCCGAGATAATATTATTGATCTCTTCCTTTATCAGCCACAGTAAGTTACTTCACTGAATAATTTTGATTGTAGTTTTCTGAAGGTAACCTAAAATGTACTCCTCTATCATTTGAATTTATTGTCTTTCACTTATTTTCTTCTATAATCGATATGCTTGTTAATGGAAAAGCTCACATGTAACTCTTTAGTAGACAATTTGTAAAATGTGCTCTAGGCCCTCCACTGTGCTATTGGTAAGGGGCTTCCTGGGCCAGCAGCATAAGCATAGTGTTAACAGTGATTTAAAAAAAAGAGATGAATTTTAAGTCATGTGTAATAAAGTTGTAGAGTTTGCTATTTCTATGTGATGATTTTATGTGAGTCGCACAAACAAGTGCTAAAATTACTTGCTTCAAAACCAACAATAAAAAACCACATCCTCCTGTACAAGTAAGTGTGGTCTGTGGCAAGAGAATATTGATAAACGAGAGCTGGATGCATATTGCAATTTAAAGCTTGCCACTTGAAACTCAGACTTAAGTTTTCAGATGAGACAGTTTTTAGCTAGTGCATTCTAGGTATCTTCCTTAAAAATTGTTTTATTATTGAGTGCATATAGTGACTTCTGTATTTGCTTGGTTCAAAAGAGTGTTTATTAAGGCTGTGGCAGTATCAGATATTTATCAGATGTTAAAGTTTAAGGTTCTCTGGAGAGTTCAAGCAGTAAATGAAGGAAAACTTAGAGTACAGTAAAATAAACAGATAAATCATTGGCAGCCTGTGAGAGCTCAGGAGGGTAAAATAATTAAATTGCAACTCAGATGACTAGGCCTTAAACCTTGGCTGCTGTGTACTTGCAAGAGCTGTTAGTGTGGCTTGAGCTTTAGGAAAGGAAGCAGGAAGCAGGTGACTGTGCTGTGATGGGGAATGGGGCTGGGATGGGGAATTGGGGCTTGGTTGTCCTAAGAGAAATGAACTTTCGAATACATTCTGAGCGTGGCATAGTACTTGACACTAAGATGTGCTCAGCTGCTACTTACAGGATAAATAATTGAGCAGCTATTTAAGGAGGAATACACTGAATGACCGACAATTGTGCACTGCTGGTCACAGACCACCAGGGTTGTTAAATAGTAGCCAAGACACTCTTGACATGTTTCTGACTTCTCTTCCCTTTTTTCTGACTGCCTCTGCTACCATTTAAACCTGAAATACTGTAGTCCTACACTTCATCCTGTTGTTTACAGTTTTTCATATCTTGAATTCTTTATGGAAGCACTTGATTTTCTGATTGTCCTGAGTGCTTTGTGTGTAGGTTTTTATAATTTATTCTGAGGGTTGAGTGAAAGTCATAGCGTCGTTGTGGAGTGGCCTAACGGCACATCTAAGGATGTTCCAAAACACATCACTCTAAATAATGGAATATTGGCTGGCACCCTCATTTAGATTTTCCTCCTCTTGAATTTGGATTCTACTTGTTTGTTAGAAGAGATGTGCTTATATGTGAATTTTTAAATATTGGCAGGCGTAGCTAGTAAATAGGACTCTGAATGGACTGCCCAGTGTTTCCTTCAACTCTCAGCAGGTTATAGGTATAGAAAACTGGGCAAATTACTAATGTTATATGACTTTCCTGCTTTTGTCTTAGGTACCTTAATGCAATTCAGACCATGTGTCCACATATTCTCCGCTACCTGACCACTGCAGTTATAACCAATAAAGATGTTCGAAAGCGCCGGCAGGTGCTAAAAGATCTAGTAAAAGTCATTCAACAGGTAAAACTAAAATTTTCGTGGCTCTTAACGTACTGAAACTTAGGTCTAATCTGTTTTTCTAAAGTAAGGACTTGTGGCTCACAAAAGTAAACATGTTTTTAAAAGTTGGAGGGGAAAGACTAGAGGTGTAGCTCAGTGGTGGAACACTTGCCTAGCATGTGGAAGGCCATGAGTTCAGTCCAGAGTACTGACAGGGAAAAAAGAAAGAAAGAAAGAAAAAGAATAGAGAAGTATGTATGAGGTTTCAAAGAGCAAAAAGGCTTAAATGAGCAATCATTGTCTTTGAGTCTAAAATACTCTTGCATTAGCTGTGCCATGAGTGACCACTTGTGTTTGCTCCTTGCATACTTACTGTGCACATTGTACTTGTGCTGCTGCTCTTTTGCAAAGAATGAAGCTACTTTTGGAGAGTGATTGTCTATATGGTTTTAGAAAATGAAGTTTAAACTGAATACAGTATTACTGGTCCCCAGGCTGACCAAAAGCTAGAATGCTGCCAATTGATACTTAGTGAGCTTATAAGGAAGAGAAAGGGGGGGCGGGGGATTTAAAGCCTCATTTGCTCTAAGAATAAATTAAACATGAAGAAGTAGCTGTTGTCCTGTAGGGCATGAATAGTTTTATACCTGGGGATGTTCATCATTATTAATTAAGAGACTTGCAGTCATCAGGAAATTTGAAAGCTTTTAAAATGATTATAAGATGAGAATTTAGAGAACTTGATTTGGAAGCGCTCACAACCCCAAAATGTGATCTTCACTTAGAATGGGAGCTGTTGCTTTGAGAATCTGACACGATACTAGGCTATTTACTGTGAATGAATGGTAAAGTAGAAGAAAACATGACCATTAGGATATTTTGGTCTACTAAAACAAGTTTAAGTACATCTAACTGGCATTTGATTTCATTTTATAGGAGTCTTACACATATAAAGACCCAATTACAGAATTTGTTGAATGCTTGTATGTTAACTTTGACTTTGATGGGGCTCAGAAGAAGCTAAGGGAATGTGAATCAGTAAGTATGAGTTTTTACTTACAAACTATAATGCTTTTAACATTTTTAAATATTGTAGAGTTAATGTTGCAGTGTCTTCAGTAATGAAGTAACTATCAGAAATATGTTGATTTTCAAATGAAAAATTATTTGGGAATGTAGAAAGGTCAAGACACATTTCTAGGGGAGACACCCTGCTAGGGAATTGTTTTGTTAGGGTATTTTGTTAAAACGTTTTAAGTATGCAGATGGATTTTTAATTTCATGTCTTGAATGAGAATATACATGTAATAGTTCCTAGGTACAAACAAGCTCACTTTGAGCTCACATGCTCCAACTATGGTTCTCAGTTTACTTCATAGATGGAATTAGCTTTAGAATTTTTTTATAATGATATTAAACATTTGTTTTAAACCAGACAATTTGTTGTTGTTTCAAGGTTTGTAACTATTATATATTGCTTGTATTGGTTAGTAGAAACTAAATATTCTTTGGGAGCAACTGAATAGTTACATTAGAGTGGTTTTGAATTATTTTATGTGTTTTAAGAAACTAAAATAACTTGAATGCAGCTACATTTAAGAGATTCACACATTATATATATTGAGCTCAAATTTTGGAACAAGACAGACATTTTGTTCACAGTCTGAGATTAAAAGATACAAAAACAGACATTCAGAGGTGATTTTCAAGCACTAAATAAATAGAATATTAAAATTTAGTTTGATAATTTTTGTTCTTATGGTTCGGTAGCATCATTAAATTTTGCATTGGCGTGTATTCGTTACGCGAAAGTACTGGGGGTCTGTGAATTCAGAAGGGTCAGAAGGCCCCTTATTGCTGTCAGTGAACAAAGAATATACCTTTTGAATTTCCTCACTACTTTGTGTCATCAGCGTTATCATCGCTAGCATTATGTATTTGTTGTAATTTTCTGTGTCTAATTTTTTCTGTTACAGAGAGTCTTCATTTCATTATTTATTTTAAGCAGTATGAAGGAGGGTATATTATTGTTCCAATTTTAGTGTATGTGCTCCTGAAGTGACCACGGGAGGTATGATAGATATCTGGACACGATGGAGGTGATGGCAGAGGAGGTGGCTCTGCTATTTGAAATTGGTGGAATGAGAGATTACAGGGTGGGAGGCTTTTTTTTTTCTAGATTCTCTTCACTGCTTGTTTAAATTTTCAGAAGCTTAAAGATAGTGTTCTAGAAGGTGCCCCAGTGTAAACTCTTAGATGGTGGACTTGTAGTGAAAGGAGCAGTAAGTGAAACAAACTGTTGTGAAGTTTTCAAATACTGCTTGTCCGCATTGTTAATTTTTCATGTTTTCTTTTATACACATAGGTGCTTGTGAATGATTTCTTCTTGGTGGCTTGCCTGGAGGATTTCATTGAAAATGCTCGTCTCTTCATATTCGAGACTTTTTGTCGCATCCACCAGTGTATCAGCATTAAGTAAGAACACCCTGATTTGACATGTATTCTCTGCTTTTAATTTCCTGGGAACTTAACATGTATTTAAAGTTACACTTAATAGCATTCTAGTTCATTGACGCTTTGTTTCTGTTGGTTGGAAGAAAAAGAAAATAACTTCAGAGTAACTTGTGAAGATCCTGACTTTGGTTTGAGAGCTAGGGTGCTTGCTGGGTGCTACCCACTCAGGAGCTCTTCAGCTTCCCTGTGGTGCACAGCCTCACTATTCAGAATGGCAAGCTGGAGGTTGTGTATGGTTTTTAGTTACCTTTTTACAGAGTAAATACTATTAAACTCTTATGTAGAGAGAAAAGTAAAGTAAATAGCTTTTAAGTGGCTTTCAGCAGTATTTTAAATAAGAGTTAGCCCTTTATAAATCAGCAATTCTGTTGAAAGACCACCACATTTGGTAATCATTTCTAGAAATTAAGTTTGTTTTATTTAATTATATAGTTGAACTCTCATATAGTGAACTTTTATGCTATCCTAAAATGTTGAAACATGGAAAAATTATGGTAAATTTTAGTTGAAATTTTCTGTTGTATGAGAAAATTATTGGGGGAAAATTGTGAAATGTACATAACTTACTAGAAAACTAATTTTCCGTATTAGAGTTTAAAAAATAATTACTGCCATTTGGCCACAGATGCAATCAAATATAAAACACAAGAACTTAGTAGTATTTTAATGTTTGCCTCTGAGGAATTGTCCATAGACCACATTTTTTTCCTTTAATGCCGCTTGTCTTGCTAAGGGACCCATGCTTGGTTGCTTCTGTTCAGTGGCTGTCATTGAGGTGATCATTCCAAGTTAGAAGTGTAGTGTGATCCTGAGGCTGTTGTTTGGGGATAGCATCTTCGATTTAGGCTTTTGGACATAATTTTTGAAACCTGATTCTTCAATGAATACATTCATATTCCTGATGCGTGGTAGGTTGTGAGATAAAGAGGTAGGTTTGTTATCTGTGGACAGTAATACCACTGGACAGTAGATAGTAATTGCATTGTTCTTTATTTTTAATTTTTGTAATTAGGACTTAAAAAAGATGAATATAGTATAATGTCTGTTAAATGAAGAAGTTTGTCTTACCATTTTTACATGTGTTACTGCTTTTATATTTTTGTCTAAGATACTATGGATAGGAAAGTTTGTTCTAATTCTAGCTCCCTTTAATAATTCTGAGGTCTTTCATTATTTGGTTTCTCCCAAATTGGTTTACTATATTTTAACAGTAAAGAAAGTAAATATGGGGCTGGGGATTTAGCTCAGCGGCATAAGCGCCTTCCTTGCAAGTGTGCGGTCATGAGTTCGATTCCTGGTACCGAGAAAAACGAAAAAGACAAAAAAAAAGAAAGAAAGTAAATAAATTTGTATTCCATCTCCTCAGAAGATAGGGGTAGCTAAAAGGGGACAATAGAATAGGATTGTTTCTGTAAACATTTACGTGACATCAGCATCACCTGAGAATTTTTCATATTTAACTTGGCATAGATTTTTATTTTTTCTTTGATCTTTCAGTTTTTGCTATATACTCTCCAAAAATACTTTCAGGCTAAATTTTGATTGGAAATAAGTTTTTTCTTCTAGTGATAAAACTGGCTTTCACTTAGGTTGTTGAAATTGAAACCTTCTTTTTATTGATACATGTGGAATAGTTTTCTAAATTGAACAATTAAGAATACACGAATTTTTAAGAAAAAATACATAGGTGAATGTTTTATTCAAATTCTAGGGAATATTTGAGCTGAAAGAAATCCTAGAGAATTGATAATCTAGTGCCACACATTGAAGACTGACTTTAGTACAGCTTTCTGCAGTGAAGGGAAGACCTTGTATCTGTGTCATTCACAGTCGCCCGCAGAGGCTCACATTTCACATTCTAGAACTGTGGCTTTCACATCTGGAGCGTACCAGCATGCATTCACATGTAGAGACAGTGGGACTGGTTTTCAAAGGCATTGTTACATGTTTATGTGAGTACAAGCAGATCAAAGCGCAGCCCTTTACCCTGCTCGTCCTGTAGCTCTGAATAACTTTTCTCTCATTAGGACACCTCTTTGGAACCCTGAGGTGTTCAGAAATATAGTTTTATAAACATTGGCTCTGTACAATTTTATTACTTTTTGGCTGGGAAACTCAAGGCTCAGACATTGAGTTGCTTGGGTCCTATTAAATGACAAGGTCTAGACAAATAGGTTTTGGATATTCATTACACTATACTTTTCTATAAATTCCTTTTCATTGTGAGCAGTTGATACTTTCAGAAATAATGTTTCAATAAACTGGTCATTTACAGTATCAATTGAGCCCAAGGATAAAGATATAAAAATGAAATCCCTAAGTCACTATTTAACTCTGTGTCTCAGAATCCCTGTAGAATTTTGTTTTAGAAACATAGATTCTTTGCAGCCATATCTAACTTTTGGATAAGATTACTGAATATGTTATGTTGTATAACAGTATAGCAGGACTGCTGTGTCATTACCCCAAGGGTGTTTTTTTTCAAAACACAGCCCAAATTGAAAACCACATATTTGATCGCCAATTTTTCAGCCATATAATTACAGCTTCCTAGAGTAATGCAGTGACAAACCAGTGATTTAATATCTTTATTATATAATGAATAAGGTAGGGCTTTTCATATTTTTAAAGCTGCTTTACTGGCTTAAAAATACAGTGCCTGAAAATAATATTTTAAGTCTTTGTGTTGGGTTTTTACAAGTAACAGGAAACATCTTACTTTACACTCCAAGGCTTGGAATTCACAGAAGATGATAACAGAACTAACATTTACCTTTAAACTAGATGGAGTATATCTTAGCCACTTTCCCATCGCTAGGACAAAATGACCAGTGTTCGTGACCTAGAGGAGACGAGGGCTGCTCTTGCTCACAGTTTCACTTGGTCTGCGGGCTCTAAGCCAGTAACAGGATGGCAGAGGTAGAGGAAAATCTGCTCAACCCATTGCAGCCAGGAAGCAGAGAGGAGAGGAGCCAGGTCAAGCACAGCCCGCCCCCCCCCAGGCCACACTCCAGCCGCCTTCCCCAGCCAGGTTGCAACGCTAGCTTCAGTGATGAACTCATCCTGTGGCCCAGTCACCTCCCACTTGTGGGGCTCTGGGGAATGTTCTAGATCTAAACCATAACGTGGATAAACAGTTACTCTCCAGTCTAGAAGTTTTTAAACCCAATTTTACATTAAATCACCTTGGCGAGATAACAATTTAAAAAGAATAGGCATTCCTAAAAAGGAGTTATGATGTGACTCACCAGCGCCACACAAGGGTTGTAAGCATTGTGTACTGCAAATGTGTGCAAGCAAGAAAGAGAGAAAGAGGAACAGAGGGAGGGAGGGAAAGAAGAAGAGAAAAAAAGAAAAAATGATTTTTAAAAACAAGGACAACTTTCTAGTCACTCAAGACTGGAGGATCTGATTTGAAAGCTTGGTGATTTTTTTTTTTTTTTGCAAGAATCATTGCTTGGAGAATCATTGCTTTTTCTAAAGTTGTGATTCTGTGTGCACTTTAGAATAAAGCAAGAACTTTAAAAAGAAAAGATAATTGGGATCCCTAAAAAAAGTACTGAGAGAGATGTTGGCTTTTAATACTTATCAACATAAAGGTTCTCTATGTACTTCTTAAGCAAAACTTTGTCTTAAGGCTTCATTTTAATATGACTGTAGATGAGTTGTAATAATAGATTTCTATGCCATGCCTTAATGCCAGCAACATCTTACAAAAACCATAGTAAAATATTGGAAGACTCTATATTAAGTATTGATAAGTTCAAGATGCAGAGCATTTCTACCTCCATAGGGTAAAAACTGCCCTTTCAGAGTCCCACACTTTCCTCCTGCCTCTTTTACACCGAGCAACCACACTTGTCTTCTCCATTGCTGTAATTTCATTTTAAGAATGTGCAAAGCTTTTCTAAGCGGCAATCAGTGCTGAAGAGGGAGCTCAGTGGTAGAGTGCATGTCTAGCTTCCCGAGGCCCCAAATTCAAATCCCAGTACCACAAAAATAAAAAAGATAGTATTTAACACTTAGAAAAGATAAATAAGCTGTGTAGTACAGTTATAATTTAGTAATAAAGAACAACACAACAGACCTTACACATAGCCAAACACTAGGAGTAATGTAAGGAGGTTACTTTCAAAAAACTTAAGAGGAAAAAGCAGACATTTAATAAATGCATGAATAAATTCGAAACTGCAAATTACAGTAGGCTTTTGATGAGCAACTATCCACTGAGTACTAATTATGACACATTACTTTATTCACTAGCTGATGCTGGCTTTTGCTTCTAATTAGTGTGTACTTCCTTGGTACTCTTTTGAGGAGATAAGGTTGGGTGGTTGTAACTCTAGGCTCTTTTTCCTTCCCTCAAAGAACACATGTCGAATGATGAATAGACTAGTATAATAAAATCCATTGTTTATTAAACAAAATCTTTTCCTTTGTGATTTGGAACATTTTTTTTCCTCAATAGATTTCTTTACTAAATAGCTATAATCATATAGGATACTCATATTTTTATAAAAGTACTCGTGGAGAATGTTTTTAGCAGTTTATATATAATACTGTAAATCTGTGCAATAAAGTTATATATCTGTTTACCATAAAGTATGCAGCATCTGTCAAAAAGATTACTATGGTAGGGTTTAATGTAGGGGAGCTCAGTAGGTTATCAGATATGGTGTATGTCTGAAATTTAAAAGCTGTTTTACAATAATTCTTGAACCCATTTTCAACTGTATATAAAAACAAAATATGGAAATAATAGTTTGAATGTGTGAGGTAAACAGGTTGGAGCATACTTTAATGTGATGTCCTTGTAAGGTTTGCTTTGGCTTTGTACAAAGGGTTACTCTGGCATGTGTTTAAATTAGGAAGTCATTCTACTTTGCTTATTAAGTAACAGTTTATATCTTAATAGTTTTCTTAAAGTACTTATTACAGTAATAAAAAGTACATTATCAGGTAGTTTCAAAAGACTATCGATGTTGGCAAGTTCAGAGGATTTTCAATTGTTAATGCAGCATTGTTTTCTCCTGATTTCTTTGTTTTCTGCTAATCTCACAATTAGATCCAATTGCTACTTAAGAATTATTTTCTGATTGCTTTTCATTGCATACTCACAACCTTAAAGACTGAAGAGTACTTTTCTTCAGATATGTTGGTCATAGTCTTACATCAAAATCAAACTGTAAGTTCCCAGTTCCTAACGCAGTAGTACTTGAATTGTAATTATCAAATAAAAGTTGGGAAGCTAGGTTATATAAAGAGAGACAGTTAATAAAACTGGATTCTAAATCCTTACTTACCCAAATCTTTGTTGGGTAGTGGGGGAGGGGTCAGAGCAGGGAAATCATCTAAAAAATTGGCATTGAAGATTTGATAGAAAACCAGCCTAGAGTGGACAAGACCCTAGTTAGATACCTAGATCTAGATTTCTATGTCTTATGTTACTAAATAGGACCATGGGTATTAATTACTGTCCAGTAACAACAGAAAGCATTATGTGACTGTGCTGGAAATGTGAACATGTTTAATTAAAGAAATCGAACCGAGGATGAAGTATTTATTTTTGTTTCGTCTTTTGAAACATCACACAATTTAACATTCAGCATAATGTTTTTGCAGTGATTGAGAGGGAAACCTAGTCAATTTAAAGATTGGTGAAAGGGATTTACAGAGGTTTTCTTAGGTGAACTGTTTTTAATCCACAGGTGAAAATTCAGAACCCTTTTGTATTTCACGTAGCTCCTCTTGGTTTTTCATTACATTTAAAATGGTTTATATATTTTGAGAATTGAGTATTAATGCCTTGTATAAGTGCCCGTGTGCATGCCACATATATTCTTAAAATATTACATATGCATACACAGATAACCCTTACATCAGCTGAATGATTGATTTGCTTTAGCCTTGATAAATCAAGCACTGCATTGGTTATCTACAACCTGTCCTTAAACTGGAAAAAACAAAAAAAGTGCCAGTTGGTTGCTGCCGAAAGTATTTTAGATCAAGGTCTTCCCCTGTCCTGCCCTCACCTTAGTTGCCATATAAGCTATGTAGTTTATAGCTCCAGTGGACACCCAGAATTTATAGCACAGGACTGCCTGGCAGCTGAGCTTTGCTGATTGACTTCTTACAGATACTCAGTGTAGCAGACTTTTGTATAATCATTACATTTCTCCTTTGAATTGTTACTTGTTGAGCACCTTTTAGAACCCAGGATTTCCATAGATGCAGACTATCTTACCTTTCCCGTGAGGCTATGTAGATGTAACTGGTGCCGTGGAATTCGAGACAGCAGGTACAAACACAGACAGTGCAGTCAGTCAGGATTACATATAAATGAAAGAGAAGATTATATATATATGAAAGTGACCTAGACATACTTGAAAGTCCCTATGCACAGTGTGTGTCAGACACTGAAAGTTCAGGCCTAGTTAATAAACAGTGCTGTTTTTATTGTTTTCCCTGCTTAGTATGCTGGCAGATAAATTGAACATGACTCCAGAAGAGGCAGAAAGGTGGATCGTGAATTTAATTAGAAACGCCAGACTGGATGCCAAGATTGATTCTAAATTAGTGAGTATGGTATTGGTCATGGTTCCTGCTGGATGACAGTTAATTCTTGGTGTGTTGTATCACTTATTTCTATGTTAATTGAGAAAATATGTGTTTTTTTAACCATGTCAATTTCTCTGTGCATAATTTGGGCTCCTAACTGGGCAATGACAGCATTTTATACTACACTAGAATTTATATTGTTCACTTTGTTTTAATGTATAATACAGTTCCTTGAAGGAAAGCAACTAGTGTTTTCTTGCTGGTTAACATTGTTACCTCTGCATGGTGTATAGAAAAATATGTGGAACAGTCCTAGATTATTGATACACTGTGCTGGTAACTAGAGTGGGAACTGTAGTTACTGGTCTTAACAGGAACAGTCTCTTTCCCTTTCATTTTAGGGTCACGTGGTCATGGGTAACAATGCAGTCTCACCTTATCAGCAAGTGATTGAAAAGACTAAAAGCCTCTCTTTCAGAAGCCAGATGTTGGCCATGAATATTGAAAAGAAGCTTAATCAGAATAGTAGGTCAGAGGTAAGAACTATACATTTTCATTTTGTCTGAAATTTAGCAATAATGTAACATAATTATTTCATAAATTTTGAGGACGTGAATACCAGTAATATCTGATTTTGTATTTTTTTTTAAGGTTAGGAAAGATTTTGTTTTAGCAGTTACTAAACTGAGAAAACTTTTTTCTTAGAGTTGTAAAATATGCATTAGTCAATGAGACAAAAAATTGTGTGTTCTTTGCTTATAACTGTAAGTGTTTGAGATACATATTCTGTCTAAATTGAAAGAAATAATTTGATAAAAATGCTGATGTTGATATTCATGCTGGTCTTAAACTAAATTATATCTTTTATTTGAGATTTATATTAAACTGTCAGAAAATAATTCCCCTTTTTGGTATGGAGTCTGCATATTAGATGTTGAAAGAATCAAATGAATTCTGGACTTTATGTCTGTGTATAACTAGAGGGCAGAAGTTGTTAGGAAGCAGTTGTGAGACATTTGAGGACCCCATTCAGTGGAGGTTCTAGGAACAGGCTTGTGTCTTTTGACTTGTTCTTTCATTTTAACAGAGAAAGACAAATTAGAATTTTATGTTCCAACTAAGTCTAAAATGTCTAAATCTAGGAAAATATTTTTTTTGTGTTTTATTTTTTGGTATGGTTTAGCATCCATTTGTAATAGTCATTGTTCCTATCCTTGATGATTCTGTTATTGTTATATTGTATCAGTAGCTAAAAACTGACCAGATGGTGTTTATGTTGTATCACTTATTTCTGTGTTAAATGAAGAAGTAAATTTTTTTTTAACCATGTCAATTTCTCTGTACATATTTTAGGCTCCTAACTGGGCAACCCAGGATTCTGGCTTCTACTGAGGAACTGTAAAGAAAACATGGAAAAAATACAAAATAATAAAATCATTATGTAAAGAGTAATACACATTTTAGAAGTAATTACTGTTAAGGCTAAATTTTGGAGAATTTGAATAAAATTGGCTGTGGTTCATTTTATCTTGTTGTGACTGTCCTCATGTTGTACAAGTTTTTACCTTTTTATTCTGGAAGAGTTATATATGCATAGAAAGCTGGTGAAATAGCTTAGAGCGCTCCACACAAGCTAAACCCAGTTTTCACCCAGTGTATTCATCTTACGCTGCTATGGTACAGGTTTAGGACCCAGACTAACATTGATGCAGGGTATATGAAAGGCAGTGCTGTGATTTAAGTGGCTGTTATTACAGTCAGGGTACAGAACTGTCTTCAGGCCTTGTTTCTACCCTTTTGTAGCCACTTTAATTTCTGGTGATCCCCATTCTTACCATCAGTGGTTTTGTTACTAGGAGAATGTTACAAAGTAGAATTCGTGTCAGCCCACTGTGTCCTTAGGTATTACACCTGCAGATTGACGTGTGCAGAAAGTAAATCGGTACTGAACATATACAGACATCTTTCCTCCTGACTATTCCCTGCATGCTAAAACGTAACAACTCGCATAGCACTTGCAGTGTGTTAGATGTTTTAAATGATCCAGAGATGACTTAAAATATACAGAGCATGTGCATAATTTATATGCAAACTCTACTTTGCTTAAGGGACTTGAGCATCTGAATTTTGTAATTCGGTGTGGATGAGACCTTCTGGGTGTGGGTTTTTTTGTTTGTTTCTTTCATTCTTTCAGTGCCTTTGAGATCTGTCCAGATTATTTTATGGATCAGTGGTTAATGCTTTTTTTTTTTAATTGCTGGATAGCATTCTGTCTTTGTACTACGTTGTTCAGCCGTATGGACCTATTGAAAGACATATGGACCTATTGAAAGACATTGTGATTGCTTCTAGTTTGTGGTTTTTATAAACTTATTCATTAGTTTCTTAAGGCAGTTCATTCGTCACACTTGTAGTTATTACAAAGACTGAATAGGGGCGTAAGTTGAATGTTATAAATGCTTCCCTGCATGTTACATGGAGTTCACTGGACACCTAAGGATTTAGGAAGTGAACCCCTTGTTAGGTTTCCTTTACACAGAATGAACTGATACTTAAACACAGAGAGCTTCCAATACTAAACTTAAACCAGGTGTCCCCATACTTTGTGTAAAATGCTAGAGAATAAAATGCTAGAGAATAAATATCTTAGGCTTTGCAGGACATAGATTCTGTTCCAACTCTTCTCTGTCGTGTCTCACACAAGTGGCCTTTGTGTGTAAACAACTATGTTTCAATAGTTTTATTTACAGAAATGATCTTAGTGTCAGAATTGGTCTTTTTTGTAGTATGAGTTTTCAAGGGAATAGATTTTAATACAGGCACATAATTTAGAGGATTATTTTATAATATTCACCCAAAAAGTCAAATGCATAAGAATACAGGAAATCTCTTTACACTCTAGAAATCCAGAGTCCAACCAAGGGCCTGGATCCCACTGTGATGTCCTTCTGCACCAGTCCAGCTGAAGACCTAGAGCCCATGGCAGTGTCCTCCCTGAGTCCAGCTGGAGACCTAGAATCCACAACAGTGTTTCATGCCCGTCTGTATCAAAGACCTACACAGGAAGAACCAGAGGTCAGTGATGGAAGCTAGAAAGTCTCTGCCAGTGGGATGAAGAGTCTGTGCCAGCAAGCTGAGAGACTTGCAGTGGAGCCAGGAAGTGACGCTAAAGTTAAGGACCAGAGAACCCCAAAGAGAAATGCGGCCATCCTCAGTGACAGCAAGGACCCCAGCTCCTCACGTAATGAGAACAGCTGAATTCATGAGGAAAACCAGTGTGACAAGCTTCTCCAGGAGAATCAGCACTACACCATCGTCCCCTCCAGTTCTGTTTTTATGCTGTTGGCAGCAATCCTCAGGTGGAACTTACACATCCAGGTCTGCGCTAATTCAGTTCAGCTGGGTAGTACAAGTTGCTCATTAGTCCACCACAACCTTGCTGCTCTAGACTTCTAAACTGTATTCCAGAGATGCCGAAATAAGGGGCAAGATTACCAGTGAGCCAAGTGTTGATTTACTGGTGTGAACATGCCAAATATGGAGCTGGGAGATACAGGTACAGAAATAGGTAAGGGGGTATTTGTAACAGAAAATGGTCAAAGTTCATAGAGAAAGAACCAAGGGGTGACATCAGTAACAAAGTAGAAACACCCATATGCATGAGTGCTAGTTCCATGGTTCACAAATCCCTCTCTGTAATAAGTAGAACCACAGTGAATTACAAAACTGAGGAATAGCACATATTTCTCAGGCTGCAGAACACTGAGAAGCACATTAAAGCCTTACATTTGCCTCTCGGCAGTGACCCAGGGTCAAATGTTCTTACTGCAAGGTAGTATTAAGACTGTAAAACATTGGCTGCACCAAGCTATGTTAGTTGCAAACAAAGGTTTCTAGTTTCACAGTGAAATGTACCAGATGTGTCCTCATGGATCAGCAGAAACTCAAAGAAAAAAAAAGGGAAGTAGAAGCTGATACTAAACATTCACTGTATAGCAGGGCCCTTACGTCCTGTCCTAAATAACCCAAAGAAGAAAGAAAATCAAACTTCTAAAATTCATCTAGACTCAGAAGTACTGAAGTTTTTGTGGTATTTGTGTTACTGATGAGGCACCTCAGGTGGTTTGCTAAGGTCCTTTGCCTCCGAGAAATGAAAAAAAATGGAAAACAGGTGATGTCATAATTGTCTCTTGGTGTCTTCTCCATAGTCCCGAGAGTTAAGCCTGCATGTTTATTCAGTCGTGAGTGAGGAGCTGGATATTCAGCAGTTCAGCTTTCTGCATCATTCCCTTGCAGGAAGAGCATGTGTTGTACTTTTCCCTCACCTGCACTGTGTACTTGCAGGATCAGTACCCCCCACCAATGAAAGGAGGAAGTATTGTTGGACTCAAAAGTTTGTAGAAGTTTCAGTCGGTGCTCAGCTGGCTCCAAGGTGGCATGGCAGAGGAGGCCTGCTGGTCTTGGCAGCAGGAAGCAGGACAGAGATCAAGGGAGGAGGGGGCACATACACCATTCCAGGTCATGCCAATAGTTACCCACCTCTTCCCATCAGGTTCACACTCATCTGTGGGTTCATCTCAGCCATGATCCAGGCACCTCCCAAAAGCCCCACCCATGAGCTTAGGAGGCTTTGAGGGGAATATCTAAGTCATAGCAACTACCCCTTGTGTGAAAAATCGATGTTTACTTTTTCTGTTACTCTGTGCTTTTCACGTACTGCTGCCCTCTGAACTTGTGAGATCATGCTGTTGCAGGTTACTGGTGTCAATTGGAAAAATACAGTAACTGTAAATTAAGGACCAGTTTGACATGTTTCCTACATTTGTTCATTGTAAAAATTTTGTAGTTATGGATTTAATCTTGAATTTTGATTGATAGGTGAACTGTTGAGTAAAATACTGAGCAAAAAATAGTTTTCTTTGTGTACTGTATTGTCACTTCATCAACAGAAAAAACCTATTCATTAGCAGCTTTTACAGGGAAATCAGAAAGAAAGTGTTCCTGTAGTTTACATGAAATAGCTGCAAGATTATATGCCTGTAATCCCAGTACTCAGGAGGATGGGGCAGGAGGATTGAAGTTTGAGCCCAGGCTTGGTAATTTAGCAACTTAGTGAGACCCTGTGTCAGCAACAAACCAAGTAGTAATTGTTAGTTACTTGTGTGGCTTACCATTTTTTTCCTATGCATTTACAAACCTATGCCTTTTAAGAAATTATGATGAAGTATAACAGAAGTAGTGTGTATGTTTTCAGGAACGGGCAGTACTGCTCAGTGTGGGAAATAGAATGGTCCCAGAAACCAAAGAACCCTGGGCTGCTCAATAGGTGTGTTGTCCTCTTTGCCCCTAAAAAGCCACCATCATTGTTTTGTGCTGAGGCTTTTGTTGGATTGATAACTGATAGTCAACTTGTAATATCAGCTGAACTGTATCAGCATGGTGCTGAGTGTGGATGAACCATCTGAGGATTGTTGCCAACATAAAAGGAGAACTAAAGAAGTCGTTTAGAGCTGTTGGTTCCGTGTCACTGGTTTTCCTGGAGGAGTTTATTGAGCTTCTTTCTTGATAGGAATCTAGGGAGCTCAAGACGTTGTTGCTGAATATAAGTGTGGTTCACTTTTGGGGAGCGCTGGTCCTTACTTTGAGCATCGCTTCCTGGCTCCAGAGGGAAAGATAGGAGTTGCTCAATCTCCAGGAGAGGCCTGTCATGCTGGCTTCCTGATATGAACTCGGCAGTTCTCATCCTCAGAAGAGCTCAGGACCTTGGTGTCACTGAGGATAGCTGTGGTACTTTTTGCAGCGAGTTCTGGTTCTTACTGTTAGTCTTGCTTTTTGGGTGCAGAACCTACTGGCACAAATCTTTCAGCCCACTGGCACAGACTTTCCAGCTTCTACTGCTGACCTTTGAGCCTTCCCAGTGCAGATCCGTGAAACAGACTTGCATGAGTGATTGTTGTGAGCTCTAGGCCCCCAGTTGTACTCATGGGGGGCATTGTCATGGGCTCTAGGGCTTCAGCGGGACTCATGCAGGACATTGCTGTGAGGTCCAGACCTTCAGCTGGATTCCTGGGGTTTTAGTGTGTGGACAGATTTCCTGTACTTCTTGTATTTAACTATTTGGAGACTTATTAAATAATACTATAAATTATGTGTCCTGTATGTAATTGTTTTCCTTATAATCCCTGACTACAACAGAATTCCTTTTCTTTATGCTTTAATCAAGTGTGTGTCCCTAATAAAAATGTTAGGTGTGGCATGTTGCAGCCTGTGTCTAGTTGAAATCACATGGGTGTCCTGTGACTGACTTTCCATCTCATGGCCTTTTCAGCTGCAGCTCGCTGTGCTCTCCCCTCATGCAGCAGACTGTGTGAGGAGATCCTTAGCTCAGGTGGTGGTGGTATCCAGTACTTGTAGTCTGGAGCTCCAGAAACTAGCCTGACAATGTTGTCTCTTTACTGGTGACTGAAATCTGCTGATGGACTGATTGCTGCTGTGTATGGGTTACTTTCTACCTCCCAGGAATGCAC